AAGGATATAATGATAAAGATAGCGAATTTTTAGTACAATATCAATAAAGTATCAATATTTATTGCCATCCTTAAGAAGCATGATAACATCTTTATTAGGTTATGTTCACCTAGAATTATCCTAAGAGTAATAACCTTTCAATATATTCAAAGTCTACAATTTCTCAATTATCTCTGTATCATAATACGGCTCTTAATTAAACATTTTCCAATAGAAAAGGGCTTATAAACTATTATTATCGATCAGGTTTCAAGCAAGACAGGTTTCTAAGCTCTGGCAAGGATAGGCACTTATAAATTTAGCAGCTCCTGTGATTTGCTCCTCCTAACACCATAATAATAATAATTAGCAGTAAATCAATAGCTTCACTCGGGGAGCCTCATTACGCTGGACATATATTTTCCTTACTTTGTGGCTTATTTTAAAGAGGACATTTCACACGCAGCATACTTTGCTGAATTTTGAAGCCACCGGTTTCGTTGACAACATGTTTTGGTGGCAAACAAACCTCTTAAGAGAGAGAGCTCCCTCAATCTATGTTTTTAGTTTGTTGGTTCGGAACCGGTGTCTCTTTTCCCAGACCCCAGACACTCTTTGCTCCAGCTCTCTTCTCTCCAGAGGTTCTCCAAATAAGCCCCCAGGAGAGGTGGTGCTCCAGTCAAACATGTTTGACTGTGCTTCAAGCCACACTGCGCGTACATTGACCGTTCGACTTGACCGGTTGCCGGTTGGAAATCGGACTCGGACTCAGACTTGGGGTTGGAGTTGGAGACGAGGCTCTTTAATTGAGAGAGAAAAATTCTACATTAACATTTAAGGCCACCCCTTGAATGTTTATTTATTAGAAGACCTTGAATCTTTCATCTCCCATCCACCTGAGATTTCTTATCTTACCTTCCCATATATCTATGCAATTTCCCCCAATTATTTCATTTAAGTGCCTACAGCTTCCTGATAATAAATCAGACATTTCTCCTGATCCCCAGGAAGTTGTACTTTTATCTAATCTGGTTTCTTGATGTCATGCCTCTAAGTTGTAAGATAAATATTCAAGAATTAACAGTTCTTTGAACGAGGGAACCAGCGAAGAGTCCCCCTTGCCAGGTGTCAATGACTCTCATTCATATATATATAGTATATGTACATATAGTAAAGAATGTAACTCTCTGGGTTAGGAAGAACTGTAAGATGACATTACCATATAGTCGACCGGCTACAGAAATCCATCCAAGCGACCTATGTCAATAAATTTCCAGCGGAGTTAAGATCCGAGTTTTTAACGCCGCAATTAAATGTCTGCCAGCGGACACTTTTTTTTAATTGCACGCCGTTCTAGTGAAAGATACTTAGCTGGCGTAATTAGCCGGTTTCTGGTGGAAGGTACTTACTTACTTACATATACGACATATGCCAGAAAAGGTGTTGGCGGTCCATGTCCCCATATCTGTCCCTCTGTCTCTGGATTAGCTTTTATTTAAAGATGCTGGCCACAGTGCCCTATAACGTATTTTAGCACTAACTGTTTTGTACCGAAATCTCGGGACTATTTTGCAGCACACGCTAACGGGTCATAGTGGTAAAGTAATGGCCGCCAAATATGTCCAAGAGCCCATTAAAGTGGTGACCGGAAGCCATGATCGCACTCTTAAGATCTGGGATTTGCGCAGCATCGCGTGTATAGAGACGAAATTTGCAGGATCGAGCTGCAATGATCTGGTGACCACCGATAGCCTGGGATCAACGATCATCAGCGGGCACTACGACAAGAAGATACGATTCTGGGACATACGCACCGAAAAGCAGGCGGATGATGTCCTAATGCCGGCCAAAATAACGTCTTTGGATTTGTCAAAGGGTAGGTGCTGGAAATTCCCATTAACACATATATTTATTGATTTATTTGATACAGATTGCAATTACCTCATATGCTCTGTAAGAGATGATACTATTAAATTATTAGATTTACGCAAAAATCAAGTTATATCCACGTTTACGTAAGTGTTTAGCAAGTTTCAATAGCTCTTAGATATGATGTATTCAAGTTGTATTTCCAAACAGAAACGAACACTTTAAAATCAGCTGTGATTTCGCTCGGGCTTCCTTCAACTCGAGCGGCCTAAAGATCGCGTGTGGATCAGCGGATGGCGCCATATATATTTGGAATGTGAATGGTTTCCTCGAAACTACTTTAAAGGGACACAGGTAAGGGTCGTCTTTGATAGGATCTTACAAGTACTTGACTTTGTACCAACAAAGAGATCTTAAGAAATAACTATGAGATTTATACAATATAATATTTTATTGTTCTTTTATTATTTATTTCCCCAATAGCACTGCTGTAAATGCCGTCAGCTGGAGCCCCAATAGTAATATGCTGGCTTCTGTTGGCAAGAACAAGCGATGCATTATCTATTCGGATTCGTAGCCCTAAGTGATGTTGCCATAATAATCGTCGTCAGTCAGTGTCGGTTCCAAATTACTGAAACGCTTATATAGTCAGAGTCAGAGCGCCAATGCGGAGGAGAGTCTGCTGTAAATATATATAGTAAACGCGGTTGGCGAATGGCAAAGGTAACTCCAGTGCCGACTGTTTTAATTATTTTATTTCATTATTTTTTATTTATACATGAAAAGGATATAGTTTACAAATTGTATCAATTCATATAATATATATATATAAATATATATATTAGCTAAGTAAATGTTTTCCTAATGTAAAAATAATAAATTTCTATATATATATATGTACACTGGGTTGCAAATATAGTTACGACCAAAATAATGTAGTATGTACGTGTATAAACGAATTAGGCTTACAAAACCCCAGTTAAAAGAGTGTGTTTTTAGCCGTTTTTTGTGTACTTTTTTAAAAGATAAAATGACGTTAAGTGGTTACAACAAGACGCGCCTTTCTTTAAATATTTAACTAATGTCTGTGTAGCTTTATAAATAACCTAAATTTCGGCTTTACAATTTTCTAAAACATTCTATTGAACAAAATAAATAACGAAAAAAAGAAAGTTCACTTGAAACTGTGTGTTAAATCTTTCACTTCTCAAGAGATTTATTATTTCTAGAATAGAAATTATCGAAATTTTTATATTGTAGATCACAAATGAACTATTTTTATTTGCCAATTAAGTCTAACTTTAGCTCTTCCTATAGATTTACTTCTGAAAAATAATAGGTTTAGAGCAGAGTATTGAGCCAAGTTTGCGATTTTACGACTGTGATAGTGATATATGATCTTGCATTTACTGACTGCCACCTGTGCTGCCTGTGCTGCCACCTTGGGCTGCAAATAATGCTCATTCGGGCAGAGCTCTTATGCATCCTTCGAACGTGATGTATTTTAATTTCTGCATATGTGATCAATTCTTGGCACGAATGCTGGAACAGAGCTCTGGGCAGAAGGAGAACACAAGAGCACAAGAGGACCAATTATTTCGTGTGCTGACGGAGCACAATCGACACTGGGGAATCTCTAATTGAGCGAGGAAAATAGCCACGGCACCACCATCATTACAAATCTAACGTACATTCATTTTTATCGCCTTGCATGCATGCCTTAATTAAGAATCTTTCCAGATTATGTTCTATAGAAGAACCACAACTTAGCGCTAAGTACCGCAGCGATATAAAATCTCCGTGGCGCTCTCCAGTGCGAGTGGTACCTACTTCAAGTACATATATAGTGTCGTTGAAGATGCAATGCTAAGTAAATTAATTGAGAGGAATTCCGTCAACTGACAGGAGGCAAAGAAGAGTGAGCTCTGAGCGCTGGGGATGAGAGGATGAGAGGATGAGGTGACAGGCGGACAGGAGTCACTTTCCCGTATGCATATACAGCATACAGGCTAGCGAGCGTTCCTCCAGCTAAGATAAAGATACAAATCTGCACGAAGCCTGTTTCCTGTGTGCCGAGGGTGCATTTATTTGCATGATTCACACAGCTGCTGCTGGATCTTCATACAGGTGTACCATCCACATGGCAATAATGAAGATGGGACGTTGAGTCGCGTCGCCGTCGCCTCGCTGGGAAACCTAGGGGGCAACAAGCACGACATTTGGACCTTCCTTTCTGCTGCCCACATGGAAAAGTGAATCGCTGCCTCGACTGCCTCCACTGAGGAGGAGGATTCATCTGGCGAGTGTGTGTCGTGCATTTTGGGCGACTCTAAGTGAGCATGTTCCTGGAAATCCAAGGCCCTTGAGTCGCCTTTTACAGTTGTGGCTGCATTTTAAGTTTTATTGAAGTATAAATAATAATTCGCAGGTGTCTGCATTCCCAGTCTTGATTCGCACAATTCGTTATGCGTGGGTAAGGTGAGTTTTTTTTACCGACTTACTTACCTTTCCCATATTTATAATCGCAAATCCAAGCAATTACTTTCGTAATTTCATATTTATAGCTGGAAGAAAAAATGTAGAGCCAGTCCCACAAATCAGAAAAACTGAGACACGTAATTTGTAATTCATTTTATTTAGTATTCATTCAGCCTCCCCGCGAAAGCCCAGAAAATCACACAGAGAGCTCATTAAAAATCTTAAGGTTTAATAATAATAAGATGAGTTTCGTTCCATAAAATTAGGGGGGTTCAATGCAAACATTAAACAGCTATTGATATGTAATAAATTAGGTTGCTTAAGCTTAGACCAAGGCATGCATTCGACAATGCCGATGCAGATACAGATGAGGGATTTAAGTGTAATATGCATTAGTTTTTTACAAATGTCAACCAGCGTAGTTCCGAAGTCGCAAAGGGAGTTCAATGCCAGTGTCATAGGTCGAACTGCCTTTGCAAGTGGGGAATCGCGGAAATCTCAAACCTAACACACACTAGAGAGAGAGTGTTGTTACGAGTACTAAATAAAACGCCATGGCTGCAATGCAAACAATCTGAATTCCACCGAACAAGACACACATTAATTTCATTTCTCTAAAATCGTGCACTGACTAGATAAGGCTAATAGCGGTACGGATCGGATGTGGTATCAGGACGACGGGTATTCGTTATTAATTAGCATAACTTTTCGTAAATATTGATTGCACCTTTTGAAGCTTAGACGTTAATGCTGTAAGTTATATGAATATTGCATTCGGTTCGAATCTGTGCTCTTAGTATGAATGCTGATACGGCTGCAGTTTCTGGCGGCGTTGATAGCAGTACGTCCAAATGGCGATCACGGCCAACTGGGTTAGCAAGAAAATGGTGGCAGCGGTAATAAGACCTAATTGGGGAGAAGAGTTAAACGTATGCTGTAGCATATACTTTCATTCTTTGGAGAATCGGGTATCTAATCGAAATTACTTCTTTTTTTTTGTGGCAAGAATTTTAAGTGGTCTCAACTGGCTGGCGGGCCATAAAAGAGTGTTCACTTACCAATGGCGTTAACGCAGAATCCATGACCCTCTTCGTTGGCCGTAAAGGTGGTTTCATTGCCATCATAATAATCCCCGCTCTCCTGTTTATCCTGCTTAAAGCCAAACTTATCCGTTATCTGAATGGACTGCACCAGCAGCATGTCGCTGGGTGTGGACTTGGACTTGGTTGCCTCAATATCCCGTCGTGGTCTGGGATGATCATCTAAAAATGGAATGGAGAATGGTTGGAAAAGGAGAAAATTGTTTAATATTTGGTAAGGGTTTCCTATTTACATTTTATCTATATATATTTATATTTTTCTTATATCAAATATAGTTAAACCACTCACCAGTTGTATTCAGCGATCTGCGCTTGCGGCCATAGGACAACAAGGACCTGAACTCTCCACTAGTATCCTCCTGTTCGCACTGCACCGGCTCACAGCTGGGCATGCACGGCGTGACCAAAGCTCGGAACTGGACCACCTCGCTCGAGGGGAACTTAAAGGCATCGAAGTTGGAGAGCAGCATTTTGCCGGAAATTGAACCCTTGTAGATTGGTCCCATGATGAAGTGATCAGTGGGGCAGCCATTTGAGTCAATCAACGTAATCTCCGAGTTATCCACACCGTCCATGGCCACCAGCTCCCGAATGAAGATCTCATACGGACTCTGCTCGTCAACAATCTCGAACTTCAGGGCCAGCGGATCGCCCACCTCGGCGGAACGCATCATATCGGAGCCATCACGCGATGTAATGCGCATGATTACATTCGGTGACTCCACAATGACCTCCTCGGACAGAGCCGGCATAATGTCACCGCGCACATCCAGGTCAACGCCATTGCTGACCGACTTGTTGGTCAGATCGTACTGACAGGCCAGAGCCAATCCTAAGTCAGAGGACGTCACAATCATGTCGTGGTGCTGGATAATGATGTCGTTAACATAGCGACCCGCCGTGCTCTGTCGCACATTGCACTCCAGATCGTGATAGTTCATCCGCAGCTCAAAGTCCAAGGCGCTCTTCACATCCACCGAGCAGGACTTGGGCGAACCCTTGGCGTACACCTTGCCGTTGAAGAGCTTGGAGGTGCGAATGCGGGCCAGCATGTCGCCACCGCCACACTCAATGGTAACATTGTAGCAGGAGGTGAGCTCATAGGTCGAGGCCTCTGGCACCTCCAGGAAAGGCTCCTGAACATCGGCCAAGGTGGCTCTACTGTGATGCGAGAGACGGCAAACCATGTCTCCAGTATCGTTGTAATCATAGGAGTGGCACCTACGAAGGAGTAATTGTTGGAACAACCAAATAAGAACGGGTGAGTTTGGAAGAATATGATTCTTACTTTATCAAAATGATTATGATATTTGATTTCTTAAGCTAAACTTGTAAAGGGTAAAAGGTTCAAAGGAGAGTTTAGAATTTCCAAGACCCAAGTTTGTTGAGATATTTATAAGAAACACCTGTAGCTAGATGCTCGACTTACCTATAAGGTGAATTGAGACACAGTTCCCGGCATTCGTCAATGCTGCTGACCTCCTGATAAACCGAGTCCACTGTCTTTAGAATGCGACCCGGCAGACGTTTGAATTCGCACAACTTGTTTGGTTCATCGACACAGTGATTCTCGAGGTAATCGGTACCCTCGCTGATCTGGAAAGCCTGTGACCCGGCCAGGGTAAGGCGATCCAACTCGCTTAGCTCACAGGCGCCAGAGGAGCGATCATAATTGGCCGATCTAAGGTGGGGGGATAGGAAATTGAAATAAAAGAGCGGCTTATTTACACTTGCTTCTTTTTATGGAACAATTAACGCGCGCCCGGTGGGGTAATCTCTCCTGCCCGAATTAAATGTCAAGAAGGGGAGAGACAACGACCGTCGAAAAAGATAGCAGCTAGTAAAGCCACTCCAGTAAAATGTTTCAGTTCAGTTCAGTTTCAGTTCTTACCTGCATGTGAATTCTGTTTCGCTCAGGCAAAGTTCAAAGCACTCGCGTCTGGACGCCAGCGACACGGTACGCTTAACTTCCGTCTTGAGCTTGTAATTTTGCACACGATCGACGTACCAGGCCCGGGAGCAGGGCTTCACCGAGAGGCATGATTTTTGGGCATAGATTGTGAACACGGGGAACTGCGACTTTGTTAGGGCGCCTGCGACGAATACGACGAATATATCCGTAATTAACGAGACTCTTTCAGTTTGCTTAGACCTGTGTAAGTAGCTTACCCGGTAATTGATCGGCATGGGCGGAGAAGAGCACGCAGAGCCCGGTCTCGTAGTTCACTGACTGGCAGGTTTTGTTCTTCCGACAGGTGTCCAGGCAATCGGTGAGCATCAGTGTACCCGGCTGTGAATCCATCAGTTTTTCGGGAGCAGAGAATACATAGCTAATAGCGAGGTGAGGGGAAAGGAGCCATTAAGCCCGTTTAATTACCATTCCAGAAGGGATATGAGAACCGATCCTTACCCTGTTACAATCTCGAATCCCACCAGTTCGGGCTGGCACTCCACGGGGGCATTGTCGTAGTAGATACTATCCTCCTCGGAACCCTGGGCGCTGCTGGACTGATCCGAATTGGCCGGTAAATCATATGCCGAGTTACGAGTCTCCACATTTTCCGCCGGCACTGGACTTTTGGCCACAGGCTCGGTTTTATTATTTATTTCGACGGCCTTTGTCTCCTCTAGACTTGGCACCTCGGTTTGGGCATCGCTGCCTTCTTCGGAAGCAATTACCTGGCTGGCATTGGGTAGGGCTTCTGTGGCCGATTCCGCCGCTGCTAATCTGCGAATCCGCAGGTGCTCCTTGGCGGTGGCCGCACTGTAAATCATTAGGGCCAGAATGAGTTGCCTCATTAAGTTAATCTTGGCCATTTTACGAGTATCACTGTGGGGCACCTGCAAAATTCAAAGGGGAGTTCTCTAATGTTAACGGCTTCCTTTTCCAATTAAATATTAAAGTTTTGCCTTGAAGGTTACATTAAATAAGCTAAGTGGCTTAATTGGAGGTTCTTCTTGTATGTTAAAACAATTAATCAATAACTAGAGTCGTGATATATTTATCAATTTATAAATGTATTTCCTATTATAACCCCATACACATTATGATCCTTTTCGATCTTCTTTTATTAGCCATGAAAATTACTTTCCAAAGCCAATCTCCTCTCATTTTTTGTGCTAAACAAACTATCTTAAAGTTAGTTAGTCCCCCACTGTTGGTTTATATAGCATCTTTTTATTGGACGATTGACTACTACTATACGTACGCAGGCGCACTGACTAAATCACCTCAAATTAATTTGTTTGCCATAAGGCGTAACGCGAATTATAGAAGATTCCGATGGGATAGACAATATCACGGCCATGGCCATGGCCATGGACCCGTAAAGCGCCGTTGCGGAGACCGAGAGCACACCGAGCTCACGTCGATGACCCCGTGCACTATTCCAGCAGATCCGCCGTTCCCCTTGGAGTTTTCTGGTCCGCTGGAGTTAAACTCTTGCGCAACTGCCGAGAGTTAATGGTCATCGCTTATGATTGACGGTTGTGCCGGCGGAGAGACTATCAAGACTATCAAGGGGTCATGAGCTCTAATTTTTCGCCAAGTACCATGTAGAACTTGTTTGGCCAAGTCAAGAGTTTCATTTTTTCCTCTTTTCTTATAGTGGTGCAAGTACCGTACCTTAACCGAACCTTAACAATTTCTAAAATTATTAATACAAACACATGATGCAGAGCAATAATTCGATTATAGGGAATAACATTACGATACAACTGGTCAAGTCTGGCCATTGGAAACTGATGATGGGGCTTGGCTTCTGTGCCTTTTCCATAAGATGGATATGTTATTTTCGAGTTTCTAATTTTAATAGCTTTCTAGGGGTTTCTTTTCAGTATTTTAAGTTGTTTTTTAATGTTTTTAAAAAGAGTTTTAATGACAGGGAATTTTGTGATAGAAGTGCAGTCTTAGTTAGTATGGAACGCAATTCGAGTTTATTCACAAGATTTGTCGAATTTGTGGTCTAACATTTTCTTTATTTTATTCTTTATTAATTCAGTTTTTAACTAAGAATCGATTGATATTTGGCAATCATTAGGTTTTTTACTTTCATATATGTATCTACAAAAAAACCTTAAATATGTATAGTTCAGGTATATTAAATAGACATTTTTATATGCTAATTTTTTGGGTAAGTCAAGTCTTTTCAAATGTCATAACTAAGCCAAAAATGAGTTAATTTCAATTCGGAAAGCTTTTCTGTCATAGTTTTTATTCTGTTAACAAATCTAATTTAACGATGTAACCCCTTATAAAAATGTACAATTTTGGAAAAATTTGGAAAATTTTATTTTTCTCCAAACACACGTAGAAAGATTCTCCTGTTGATGCTGATCAAGAATATATATGATTTATAGGGAAACAATTCCTTCATTGCCTAACAAGCTGCTGACTAAAATTAAAATACCCTTCAAGGTTTTTAAAAATGTTATAATTGTTGCATATTAATTTGTATTTATACAATATACAAAATAATACCTTAAATGAAGGGACTATAATAGTAACCCTTAATTAATGTAGAACTACTCTTCAAATAAGAAACAAAACACACACTCTCCACCCTTTCCGTTTCTAAGTAAATATCAAATTTCCGTTTGATTATTTCCGCTTGGAAACCCACCTGAATTATTACTTATGGCTGGCCACCAATTAACACACCGTTACTGTTTTAATAAATTACATACATAAATTCATATACATTCTAAGCCCGGGTTAGATAGCTTCACCGTTATGTTCTATGAATAGCCAGTAGTGTGCAGAAAAGTCGGACTGTAATGGATCCCCATCTTGGAGTAGGAGTAGAAGAAACGCCCGACTGACTACGCACTGGGAGCGGTAATCCGACGCTGCCCAAAAACTGATCTTTCTTTTTTTAGGAGAAGAGACTAGAGATAGCATACCGTTAATATGATTCATACGCCGGTCAAAGCGAACTTAATTAGATATAAAATGCTTGAAAGACTTTTGTAGGTTTTCTGGCGCTTTCAGTGTTTGTTTTCCCCTCCACATTTGATTCTCGCCTAAACGGAAAATGTCGGGGTCCGCTGCACATGAACATTGGGTATAGAGACAAACACACATATGTAGGTATGTATATATCATTGCCATGTAAAGAATGGCCGCTCAGGAAGCTGCATTATAACGAGTCCATGACCATGTTATTGTACAAAATCTTGTAGAAAGCGGCAGAAGAATTGGGTCAATGATTATCGTCAAAAAGCTGTTTTGCCGAGCATAGACATACCATATGTATGGGTCGTTCGCTGCGCCCGCAGCGATCAGGTCCCAAGTCGAACCCAAATGCCGAAACCGAAACCCAATCCCAACCGGCTTTTGGTGTGGTTTCGGATGCGATGGATGCCAGGAGGAGTAAATAGCACCAAGCACCAGCACAAAGCACCAGCACCGCGCCTAACTGTGTCGCTGCTGATCACAATCGATTAGTGCGGCGAGTCAGTCGTTTATATTGCCTAAATTACTGTTAAATGATGGTCGTTCTTTCGGGCCAAGAATTTCGACAATTACCAAATAAGGGGGGGAGCTGAAATATTTGGGATGCTCGTAAGTGGAATACAAGATGCCCAAAGGAGGTTAATTAATCAGAAAGAGGTAGTGCATCCTACATGGCTACATTGTATCTAAAGGGGAGCTCTAAAAGCCTCTTAATATTACAAATATAATAGATAATTATTTGTGCAACAAGTTAATACTTCTCGTTTTCTGTTCTTTTAAATGTCAAATCCTTTTGGCCTTTGTGTATTCAAACAATTAATAAACACAAATCACTCTTGGTCAACCCTTTTTATTACTGTTTAGCACTTTCCAAAAAACTCTTTCTTTTACTTTACTGATCAGCACAGTTAACGCGATTTTATTTCTTTTTCTCTTAATTGCTATTTTCTATTTCCAAATGCGACGACGACGACTACAAACTATACATCTGACCGACTTCAATTCCATTCACATTCAGCCTATTTTCAAATGCATGATGTAATTAAAAGATCTACACCCCAGAAATAAAAAAATAAAACCAAAAGAGTCAATAGAAATCCGAGACTCGAGATCGACAAGAGGTTCCGCCAAAAAAATAAGAAAACTTTCACCATTCTGAATGAATACTGAATGTGTTAATGACTTCATTTCCTTAGTCACCGAAAATTCAGGCAGCATATTTAACGGTAGATATCACACTGTTACATTAATCTACCGTTTTGCCAAATTTTCAATAAATATTGGCAATTATGGGTTCATGGGAGAATCGAAGATTTGATTTGGGTTTTATAATTTTCAACGATTAGCAGCAATTTTAGAGATTTGCGGTTTAGTAATTGCATTTCTTTTCTTGGATAATTTTTACATTAAGAACTTGATGAAAAGAAATGGCTTTCGTAATACTTAATCATCGATTAGGAGAGTTTAAGTTTTGAATAGGGTTAGCATGCTTTCATTAAATTTTTATTAATTTCATTGCAAAATCTTTCACTCTTTCCATACTTTTTTTTGTCGACAAATCGCTTTCGTAATATCCATCGATTAGCAATTCTTGGGTTCTTATGGTTTAGTAATTCCTGACTAAAAGGTTTGCATTCTGTGCTTCGTTTTTCTTTTTGCAGTTTTATGTTGAAATATGTGTTACTTCATTATGACAAAGTCACATCATCCATCAACCCATTCCAAAACGGACGTCCTAATGTTCGCTAATGTTTTGACGGAAGCTGTAGCCATCCCAAAGTCTGGAGAACATGTGTATAACGCGGGGTCTTTGCATTTCGCACACACAGCTTCTGGAGCCTCAGTTCCTCCTCCTCGAGACTTTGGTCTTTTTAGTCTGCAGTCTGCAGTCTTCGCTCTTTGGTCTTCGGTCTTCGGTTCACTTATTCAGAATGATTGTCTCCGTTTTTTCAATGCTGGGCATAGTCATCCGTCAGCTTGATCACTGCCGTTTAAATAAACCGGATTTTTCTTAGTTATTCCTCTGCAGTTAGTGCAAAAGGCTCATCATATCTGTATATAGCGGTTCGATTTGAACTCACTACGGTGGAAAAACCCGAGAAATAATATGTATCTACACACACAAAAACACGGCCTATAACAAACCCTATCTATAACTCATACATATAGTTAGTGGTTATTGCGAATAACAAGCGTTATGCTATCCTTTTCCCGTGATGCGGCAGATTCTTTTTTTGTTAAGTAAGCCATAGAGCTCTTAATGTGACTATCGATTTCTGGACAATTACCTAATTAACAAAGTTATTTTTTTTACAGTCTATCCCGAATTCTCCGAGTCGGGGCGAAATTTTAGCTTAGTCACACTGAAACAAAACACTTTCGCAGCTCCAACAGAATAAAGGAGAGAAAACTTGAACCGAACTTGACCATTCGATGGTCGCCGCAGAACTGAAGTCTTCAATGCCGCCGAGTGACTTGTTATAAAAATTAGATAAAGAAGTTCTGGAGGAGTTGCTCCAACTGGCTGGTTTTGTTGTCTTTCGGGGCGAACACACTCACACCACACAGCAGAGCACAATCTGCACACACAGGTTGTGCGGAGAGAACTCGGAATTCTTACAAAAGAAAGTCTCGGGGCGATGGATGTGTGTGGCTGTGGCTGTTGCTGTGGATGCAGAGGCTTTGGAGCCCCTGAGAGAATCTCAAGCAAACAAAAAGAAATTGTTAGCATGGTAAATATCACCTGTACAAAGTCAAGTCTCTCCGTGGAGATCGCGATCTCTACACGTCGGTCCCAACTCGAACGTGTTCGGGATGCAACCCAGACTTTGGGCTCTCCGGTTGTAGTTAGAGTATTGTAATT